CTTTGTTAGAGCATCGCATTAGTCATTATTAAAGTCATTACAGAAGTTAATAAGGATAAGTTATGCACAGATGAAGAGCCCACCACAGCTCACATACAGCACTTAATACAACTCTTTTTCTTTAGTTTCTTCCCTGCTGCTGGGAAAGACAGGCACCCTTATTTGATACAGCCCTGATTCACACATTCACATGGCTGCCTGGTGCCCAGCACAGAGCTGTGTGGAGGAGCACTGCAGTGAGAGTTGGGGCAAGATGCTGACTTCATCCCCACCATCCCCACAGCCCTCCTTTGGGGTAGGGGACTGCTCTTGGCAGTCTTCTGCAGCAAAGCCCGTTCCCACTGAGGGCAATGACACAGCCTAGGCATAGATGTTAGTTTAGATGTTACCAAAGCAGCAAACATTGCCTTACTCAGAGTTAGTAACAACACAGCACTACCCCTCCCAGATGAACACTTGCTTTCCCAGCACAGAATTCACTTAGTAGCCATTTGCAGCTTAATACATTGTTCCCAGCTTCAACACAAACTTGCCACTTAAACCAAATTGTTTTAGGAGAAGAACCGGCAGATTTAAGCACACTTAGTCACACAGCACACAAACAGCATCGCTAAACAAACCAACCGACCTCCCGCAGAACAGCCCTCATTACACGCCCATCCCTCTCCTCAAGCAGATATATATTTCCTGTTTCCCCAAAAAACAAACAAACTGCATTTCTGAAAGTACTTTGAAAATAAAAACAACAGTAAAAGTAAAAAACCTTACCTAGAAGAAGCAGCAACTGCTGACCACCGAGCAGATCCAAAAAGAGAGGCAACCAGCACACAGGTGGCACAACTTTTAAACTAATTACAGGCACAGCTGGGCCCTACTGTGTCAATTAAGCAGCTTTTGCACTGCAGAAAAGGTTACCTATGTGTAGCCTTGGGTGATGCAGTAAGCAGTAAGGCCTCAGTGTCTGAAACCAGAACACATGCTATAACTTGTGCACAAAGTGCTCACACCGAGAAGTAACAGGACCACATTGCGTATCACCCAATGAAATAGTAGTAATCTTACATTCACCTTGATTGTGGGCAACTTCAGTGCTACAGCAGGCAGCCAGGCTGGGTCAGGTTGTGAGCACGTCAGAGGCTGCGTCCCAGCTGGCCGTTGTTACGGAGTCATAGAGGTTGGGAGGGGTCTCTGGAGCTCATTGTTGCATCTTCCTTGGAACCCACCACCATCTGAGGCAATGGGCAGCCCCAAACGCTGCCCCACAAAAGCACTATTGACTTGAAAAAAATACATAGTCCATTGTGGTTGAAGCATGGGCTTACATGTTGGTATCCCACTCCACCTGATGGTGACCTCTGTAAATGAGGTGGCACAAAGGCCAAAATGGCTGCAGATGTTGGCCCATGCAGCCATTGGTGTTATACAGGTTCTGAGAAGCTAAGGCTGCCCTTCAACACCAGTCTCTACATAAAGTTAAATGGTAAGGGCCAGTATACAACACACAATAAAACCAGGGGTTGTGTGGTAGAGACCTCTCCTATGCAGAAAACAGCACTGCCTGGCACTGCTCAGATACTGGGAGAGTTGCACAGAGGTGCTTATATCAAGTCCTGTCTAAAAATTCAAGTCCAATTTGGGCCACGTTTGCCCATTCTGTGAGGATTTCAGGCTTTATTTTCAACTGTACACCAACACATGAGGAGTTTTAGCAGAGCAGCACCATAAAGCCGTGTGGATCTGAGGGCTCTGCCAAGCGTGACATCAAATCTTCCAAAGAGTGAGGTTAGATAAAGCACCAGATAGCAGCAAATTCTTGATTGAAATAAAACACCAAACATTTCTCCTTGGCTGGCAACAGGTGAGTTCACAGGAAACGTTTCCTTATCCACAGAAGTTTCTTTTATAGCAAACCCACAGGTTTCTCTGCCTCCCAAGAAAACTGTCTTGCAAAATGTTTAAAATGTTATCAGCTTAGAAAAAAATAACACTACTTTTAACTGATGGGAAAGGAGCCCGTTGGCTCTAAAGTTTCCATCCCTGAGTCGGGCGCTCAGTGTTGTTTGGGGCCTTTGTTCGGGGTAAATCAGCCATCAAAAATCCAGCCCTGCTGCTCCTCGCATGTGCTGGGCAGGATGACAGGAGGGATCCTGCAGCCCAGGCACTAATTACCTGTCCAGACACCTCAGGAGCTCCTGCGAGCAGCTGGCAGGGGAGAGACCTGGCTGGGGTTTTCCCCATTCCCTCCACATCCCCTGTGGCTGTTGTGGCCACTAACTACCATTTACAAGGATGGGAACCACTTCATTGCCACGGGGACATGGGCAAGTTTGGTATTTCCTCCTTCCCTGACTACTTCAATGATACATTCACGTGCTGGGCAGATAATGTCCCAGTGGGGTTTTATGGATGCTGAAGGTGGGAGAAGCATTGGCAAACTCAGACCCATGCCAGAGAATCTTTCATAGCACAGAATCACAGCATATCCTGAGCTGGAAGGGACCCCTGCGCTGTTTTTGCTGAGGACTCATATTCATCAATGGCTGAACTCCAACAGTCACCAACTGAAACACGCTCAGAGGCTGGGGGAGATGAAGGCATCACCTGAGCACTGAAAGGTGAGCGTTTATCCCAAACCAGCACACAATAATGACAGTGCCCCAGCAGGCTTTGTTTCTCTTTTTTACACCCTCTCAGTAACAATAATAATATAGAATTTCCTTGAAAAAAAGGGCAGAAGGAAAAGTTTCCCACTGCTTCATGAGCATGGTCCCCCATGCACCCCGGGACAAGGAGGGGTTCCCCAAAGCAGCACCCAGGGCACTGGGCTCACTGCACTGTGGGGTCAGTGGCTGAGAGGGAGGAAAAAAAAAAAAACAAAAAAAAAAAAAAAAAAACAAAAAAATTAGCAAAAATGGGAATAACGAATTAAAAACAGAATGCATGGGGGAAAAAAAAATGCTTAAATTTTTGCAAGAGAAAACAATCCTCCTGCCGGCAGCTGTAAATAAAATAACAGCAGTGGGGTGATTTGCAACCATGTAACGGGCTTTTGTCTGCGCCTATTTCTCTCTGCCTTGAGGGTTTCTGTGTTCCTTCGCCGCAGGATCCCAATGTTTCTCCCTCCGGTACAAAGGCGGAGGGCTGCAGCCCCTCCCCCGGCTGCTCGCCCCCAATCTGCCCACGCTGCGGCTCCGGGGGGTGCAGGGCTCCGCAATTTAGGATTCCTGTTGGATTTTCAAGAGCACCGCTCTAGGACGTGCCAGGTTTAAAAACTCATCTTTTTAACTCTTTCTTTGCCCCCAGATTTTTCACGAAGCCCATCGGGCATTTTGCTCCCTGTAGGAAAGTTAGAGGTATTTATGAGTCTAATTAGAGGCATTTGTAAGAGTGATTAGTGTGAAGTATATCAGCTGCTGGTGGCTGCGTGTGTGTTCACACATGGATGCAACGCGGCAGTTCACAATTTGTTCCTGCGCCTGAAAGCTGCGAAATGCCCCGAATTCCCCCAGGCAGGCGCTGTGCACGGCTGTGCATTGTGCTGTGCATTGTGCTGGGATGGAGCAGCACGTGGCTGAGCAAAACCAAGTTTTTTGAAATTACATTATTTTTTATTTTTTAAGAAGAAAAAAAGGACGTGAGTGTTGGAAGGCAGTGTTTGAGTCCTTGAGACAAAGTCTGACATGGCCCCACTTGTGCCTTGTGATTGCCCATCACACAGGTGCAACATCCTACTTCCCTCCTTTTGCTGTCCTCAACTCCAGGGCTGTAGGTCTGCAGCACAGCAATCCCTCATCCACTCTTGTCCCATATTTGTCAGCAGCACATCACAGGAGGTGCTTTGGGGACCAAACTCATCTAAAAATGAACAATGAACTCGAACACAACGCTGTGTAGTGGGGCTGTGCACCCCTGAAGTCCCAGAGTGAGGGATGCTCTGGGGCCAGACGTTCCACAGTCAGTGAACATCCTCCAGAGCACAGTGAGTCCCAGAGTGCATGGACAAGACACTGAGCCATGCATGAGTGCTCACAGGGACAGGGCCTCAGCACCATGCACCTTCAGCCCTGGGGATACTAGCTCGTATCCTTGTGTCTCCCCAAACCCAGTCAGAGCCCCCAGGTGGCCAAGAGCTTTCTGACGCCTCTGGACAGCTTGGGTCCAGGTTTATTTTGGCAGTCACCATGTAAACACAGTTGGAAGGTGAGCGCTGCTGCCTCCACACACTTAGGGAAGCTTTTAGCCGGAATTGCTTGGGGAAGGTAGGGAGAAAAGTAGGGAACATTTTAATAATAGACTTATTCTAGGAAACTGGGGTCCGTTCCCTGTCACAAAAGCTGATTTCCCAATGGTGTGTATAGCAGTGGGTCATGCAGTTACACTGCACTAGAACCCAGCCGCCCACACCAGCAGCAAGCAGCAGCCCCAGAGTGCCCAGGACACAAAGCTTGGCCTCAGCAGATGGAAGGCTGTGGTCAGAACTCCCCCCCAGGGTCACACTACAGCAGTGCACACAGTGCCTGCCAGGTAGACTGCAGCAGCAGGACTGTCTCTCATCTTTAAGGAGGATTTTTTAGGGTATTTTTTCCACACAAGAGGGTTTTGGCCTGAAATCAAGCTTATCCAAATCTCTGTCCACATATTTTTGCAGCCCATGAAGGAAACTGCCACAATAAAATTCATTCTTCATTGTGATCTTCGCTGGAGACTCTTCTCGAATGCTCCCTTTAAGCACAGTGCTCCTCCTTTCCATGTCAGCATGTCCCGCAAATGCAGCCACTGCTGGAATACAGGTACCTCAGGGCTTTGACAGAAAAAGAAATAGCTCAAAGACAAATCACTGATTTCAGAGAGTGCAGCCAGCAGCAGTGGGGTTAATGAACAAAATGACACGTTGGAGAAGTAAGAATATTGATCTCACTTTCCTTAACCAGCCAGGTAATGTGGGGGCAGGCACCGAAATCGTAACTAGAAACATACAGATGTCATTAAAACACACAAAACCCATCACATACATATTTTAATCTTATCAGAACTTTTGTTTGCAGAGATACAATAAATATAGACGGCACTGTTACTGTGTAAACATCTTCCTTCAAATCACTGAAATGTCAATGTAGATTTTAAAACACACTTGTATATACTTTCTTTTTTTTAAGTAGAAAAAGAGCAAATAGTTATAACAAGTAAAATGCACTTGAGAAAAGTCCTGAAATGAACTGAAAAAGGATGAAACCATATGAGAGAATACATCTGGAAGAATGGCATTTTTGTTTGCTTAACAATAATCAAATTTTCCTAGCAGGAAAGCTGGATGGGAACTCCCTGTACCATCCTTCATTAGTTTCAATTAATAGTTTATTTGCCATTAGTTAATCTATGATACTGCTGGGTCTTTTTACAAGCAGCCAGTGCAAGTTGAGAAGAAAGTATATTAAATACCAGAAGGAAAATGAGATGATATAAAACAGCCCCTGATCCTGCTAACCCCTGCTCCTCGGAGCAATCCCCTTTCTTTCCTACTTACTGCACAGTGCAAGAGCCTCGGGATTAAGTCAGATCTTTGAACCATAATTCCATTTATTTGGAGAGACAAATGTGCCTTTCGCTCAACTTAAACGTTTCCTTTTAAAAGAGGCTGTCAAACCTGAAAGCACATTAAATTCACGTTTAGAACAAACTTTGTTCTTGCATGGTTCCAGGCACAGGACACAGACGCGGTGCTGCCCGAGGTTCAGGTGCCGGATGGACACCTGCAGGAAGTCAGGGCTGGCCGTGCCTCACGCTGCCCCTTCACCACCACAGCTGCTCCTGTAGGTGAAGGAGGCAGAACAGAAGGTGATACTATTCAAACATTTATCATACAGCATTGGGCACACTGTCAACAACAAAAGACATGTAACATGTAGCCCTTCTTTCACACGTATTAGTGAACAACCAGTCACAAAATGTTATTTTATTTGCAAGACTGAGTTCTGAGTTTTTGGTCTATTTCTCATTCTATTTTCTAGGACAGTTTTTGTAATAGTTTGGATCCAGCTGATAGATTAGTATCACTAACTCACCCTTTCTAAAAGAAAACCAGATTGAGTCATTTAATAATTCAACACTAGACATCTTTGAACCCAAAATTATTAGACTGCCTTATAGATCAGTAAGGCACATTTTGCCTCAGTTTGGTAAGAAATATTTCATTTCCCCCAGTTTCATCTGGTTAGACACAAAAACTTCAGGACTTCTCAGCTATTTGCAATGTCCCAAGTGTAAGAACAAAAGCTTGGCAGGTAAGCAGCCAGTTTCAGCTCCTTCACTGCCTAAACCTTTGGTAGAACTGGTTTGTGCTCAGATCTAGCACAGGATTTGGCCAGGTCTGACTGGCCACCCATTACCTGCACCCATTAGGTACTATGGCCAAGGTGTCAGAGAGACACCTCCTGTTGAAGGGTTAAGACTCAGGCAATGCCTGGCACGGGTCTCCAGGTCAGGGAAGAGAAAGCGAGTGGATCTCCTGCACTAAAGTGAAAAACTTTGTGTCTGACACTTCGCCTGTCTACATAAAGAGCACTTGCAGTTTGGCCCAAGCCTGAAGTTGCTGTTTAAGTAGCCCTTGTCTATAGAAATGTTAGGAGACAGTCCAAGCACCATCACAGCCTGGCACATCACTGAAAAAGCAGTCAGTGTGATCCTGCAAGGGTATAATGGTCCTTCTGAGCAGCATCAATCCAAAATTAATTTCCCTTTCTCGTGACAGTACAAGCTCTAGCACAAAGGTTTGGTCTATGAGAGCAGTTGTGAAACACACACAGTGATTTTAATTTCTAGTTCGAAATATTGTCCTATGGGCAGTCAGATCTGGGGCTGAGCACCAGCACAGTCACAGCTGAAAATCCACAGTTACAATTAGTAACTACTGAGGTCCAAACAGGTGCAACAAGTTATAATTGACTGACATCTTGATGAACATACTTACAAGCCATTTCCAATGCAAGGCAATGTAGAAATACGCTTATGTAAATACTCACTGGAACTTGTGCAAAAACAGGAGAAATTAAGCCAAATAATTTTTCAGTTACAATCAATTTGACGTTTGTTTTGTTTGAGCTTTTTGAGGGAAGTTCCCGAATATCCCACCAGGCTCTAACAACGTTTGGAATACGCTGTTCCTCCAGCATGCCTCATACACGTATAGGTCAGCCACGCGCCTCGTGCTCAGCCTGCAGCCCATGTGATGCCTTGTTTACCCACTGCACAAGCAGATACGTGCAGCAGCCATTCCATGGCAGAACTTGCCTCGAGTCCACCACTTTGCTGTGCTGGAGTCTGCAAACACTGGGTGGCTGTGTTCCCCTCCTCCTCCCTGTTCAGCAGCGTCCACGTTTGTTGTTTGGAGTGAAACTATTCCAGATTCTGGAGAGCAGAAACACAGAGAGAGACACCGAGGGCACGAGCACATTATCAGAAAGAATTTGAGTGCTCCCAGCAGCCCAGCAGCAAATTAGAAAGTTTTGGCTCCCAAGAATGAGTTGTGTTGTTTGTTCCTGCACACTGCAGCTGCTCTTTCCCTCTCTTCCCCATCCCCCTCCATTGGGTGGTTTATTACACACAAGCCACTAATGAATGGGAGCCGCTGTTTTACAGTACACCACACTTACAGGACTTATCTCTAGGCCCACCACAGATTTGACTGATCAACAGCAGGGCACCACCATCATAATTCTTCCTAGAAACAGGAGGATAAAAAGGGGTTTGTTGGAGGTTGGCTGCGTCTGCAGAGAATCCTGCCTGCGGGGCCTGCTGATGCCATCGCTCGCTGCTATGGTCTCTGGCCTAATAAGGTACAGAAACAAAGATTGTTCACTTGTTCAAGAACACTAAAGCACCCGAGTGACGGAGAGTGGAGGCAGCGGGGCACACATCCAAGTGGGATTAAGGCCACAAGTGCAACTTCGCAGGGCTGGCTGGGTGGCAGGGGGATATCTGCCTCTGAAAAAAAACACCCAGTTCAAACATAATTTATAATGTGTCACTCAGTCAGAGGTGGCTGTCATTAAGAGTTAAACGTCGCACTGTGTTCAACTCATTCCGATAAGAATTCCCTAAGCTGCTTATATGTTATCATAACTCATGAGGAACTGGAGCAAGAGCAGGGAGGGGGGAGGCTTTAAGGGTAGGATGAGACCCAGCTGGGGTGCAGGGACAGGGGAGCAGTACTGGATGGCCGCCATTTTGGTGTGGTGTGCCAGATGCTGTGGGGCAATGCTGGACAGCCACCATTTAGGTGTGGTGTGCCCATATACTGCAGAAGCACTGCCACACACACACAGTTTTGCTGCGGTATGCCCACACGTTGCAGGGCAGCAGAGGACAGATACCATTTTGGTGTGGTGTGGAGTGCCACATGTTGCAGGGCAGTGCTGGATAGCCGCCATTTTGGCGTGGAGTGCCCACACACTGCAGGGAAGTTCTGGAGAGCCACCATTTTGTTGTGGAGTGTCCTTACGCTGCAGAGCAGTGCATGATGGAAGCCATTTTGGTGTGAAATGGTGTGCCCACATGCTGTGGGGCAGTACCAGATGGACGCCATTTTGGTGTGGTGTGGAGCAGTGTGCCCACACGCCAGCAGGCCCAATGCAGTACACAAGGTGCAGGACCTGCTTCTGGGAATGCATCATTATTACCTCAGCTGTGGAATAAGGGAAATTCACCACAGCTGGCAGCTAAGCTGCTGATAGTGAAGAAGGAAGATATGTTGTAGCCAAGTAGGATGCCCTTCAGTTAATATTGCTTACTGGAGATGGGCCCCAATGGCAGAGCAGGCAAGCAGCTCTGGTGGGCAGCACTCAGTGCTGCTGGCTGGCCCGGCAGCTCTGAAGTTTTTTTCTCTGGTCTAGGGAAATCCAGCAGTAGGCTCTCACAGAGGGCCCAATCCCACTGAACTTCAGAGGCCTGGTAGAGAAACTTTCCCCAACAGTTTTTCTGCTGCCTTGCATTAGGTGTTGAGGGAAATCCTGTGTGGAAAAAGGACAACAGCCCCATGAGATTGTCCATTGTCACAGCTCTTTCCATAGCAGCTCACTGACCTAGCACAACATCCAACCCAATCCCCCGCTGGGAGAGGCTCTCTGGCACAACCTGTGCAGAAAGGCCGTTTGTTTATCTGCTAGCTGCGACTGCCGGATCGCGTTACACCTGCTGGGGCTGCTGGTAACGTGGGAGGTGGATGTTAGCTTGGCACTGTTGCTTTTATAAAGCCTTTAATGTAACAGGCTCTGGCTGTGTTCAGGTGCTCACCCATCAAGTCAAGGCTTAGGGAAGCTTGTGCTGAGACATCCCAGGCTCCCATTTCCTTGTCACTCAACTCAACAACTGCAGTCTGGCTGCGGTAGGTGTAGGAGAAATAGTTCTTCTGCATCTCATAGTGAAACAGCCACCCCATCTTCACAGCCACGGATTTCAGCTTTCCTTGGCCTTTCCAATTGCTTGTTGTGATGACATCTTACACTGAGCATAACTGGCTCTCTGTGCTCAGCCAGGCACCAGAAGATGAGATGCGATCATGAGGGTACAGTGAGTCACGAAGGACACACCACTCTCCAGCAGCCCGAGATGGGAGCATGGCAGTGTCAGTGATGAGAGATCTTCAGCCAACCTTGGTTCCCCAGCCTCCCCCTCTATGGCTTTCAGGTTTGCTCTTGCTGAGGGAAGAGGAAGTCCTAAACAACTTCCTTGCTTCCCTGAGGCATATTGCTGTGTTATTTCTGCCTGGTCTGGCAGGAGACCAATGTCTCCAATTTGTGTGTAACCATTCAGAACCATTCCAAAAGGTATCCAGTTTTCTGGGTACTGCAAGGCAAACATATCACCAGCTCCAGCTGTCCTCAGACAGGCATGAGCTCGGATGGGTAAATCACAGCCAGCTTTGCTGGCTACCACACAGTGGTAACTGCTTTGCTGCTGCTGCTTCATGGACACCACACTACAGGTGTGGAGTCCAAAGAATCTGCACCTTGCATGTGCAGGTATGGACTCAGGTCGGCTTGCACTTATGGAGAGGTTTCTGTGCCTCTGGCTGAGGTGTTACAGGCTATCTGGCAGCTGATACCTCAGAAAGCAGTCAGCGTGCTGCAGCTGTCCCTTTCCATGGTGAGCAAAACGAAATCAAACTGCATGCGCCCATTCCTCTCATGCAGCCCAGCACTGTACGGAGCACAAGCACACACGGGAGGTGGACTTACTATACATGTAATGGCAAAGATTTCTTCTAATAAGTTTCTCCTTCTGAAGTCACTCAGGCTTCATAGAATCTCGCCTGAAAAAGTACAAGACAAGTTATAAGTCAAAATGGAACTCACTCATTTATCTTCCCCATCTGTATGGAATGCAATCAGACAATAAATAAATACTGAAAAATGCATTTGTTTTAAATGTCTGTGAACAAAGGGTTTGACATATTTGCAGTATGTAATACTGTTTTTAAAACATGATTTTAACCACCTGATACATTCAATTAAATATAGAACGCTACACAAGTTGTATTTGCATTCTAGAAGAGCAGCTCTGAAAGAAACTGGAAGTGTGGCAAACATTCTGAAAAAAAAAAGTGCTTTGAACAGGGATTGAGATCTCCTTGAAGGGCTGCAACAGGACTGACTTTATAGTATTACTTGTAAAAGACAAGTGTCTTGTTTTTCCTTGCACGACAGAGCCACTTTGAGAAGGACAGACTGACAGCTTGGTCTGTGCTCCAAGAAACAGCAAAAAAAAAAAAAAAAAAAAAAAAAAACACTTATTGGAGTTCCTTTCTCCAATATTCAGTGAAATTCCTACTGCAGTAAATAGTTTTTAAACAAACAAACAAACAACACAGAAAGCAGAGATAACTGATGGGAGAAAACAGAGGCCGTTTTCCAGGCAGTGACACTGCCACTTTAACAGTTTCCCACTGTACTTCAGTTTAGCTGCCAGAGAAGCCTTGTTCAGCCTATTTGGGGGCCCCATGAAATGCTGCAAGCGTTACTGAAATGAGCACTTGTCTTTTGTTGTGCTGCATGCTAGCACCATACAGTGCTGAGCTGATAAATCCACTTTTTCTAGCACAAGCATTTTTCAAACAAAACTGCCATGAGACTGATGAGTAATGCCAGCTTGCCAAAAAAGAAAAAAAAAAAAAAAAAAGAAACAAAAAAAAGAAACCACACCAGCACTGCTGACAATGACAGCTGTTAAATTCACATATTCACAAAATGAGATGGGTTACATAACTGGAAACTACACGAGCAACTAAACAGCAAGAGGAACTGCTAAGCAGGGCGCAAATCGGGATCAGGAAGGAGCGCATCACACGTCCCTGTGTACTCTGCCCACCAGTGACTGCAGACAGCAAAACTTTCAGGCATAAAAAAGTACTTTGTGAAATTATTATTATTTTATAGACACAGTGCTGAGCTCTAGAGAAGGTCTGTAACACACACAAGGCAGAGCAGGAAGGCAAAAAATCATCCTGTCACCACATCACCTGCCTTTATTTCAGCTAACCTCAAGCAAAATTGTACAAAACCAAAATAATCTGCGCTTCCCTTTTGTTTGCTCATGGCCAGCTTCATTCCCATTATATGGTAAGAGATACTTTAATTTAGATTATAAATAAAGCATTTGACCTGGTGGAAATTTAGCGCTTACAAGTTTTTGTTACAAGAAGGAAGTGTATTCATGTGGCTATTCTTCAACTGAGAACTAAACATGAAATGAGCAACTAAACACATAAAGTTCCTCATGCTTTACCACACTACCTGTAATAAATGAGGCTAATGCAAAAAGATGTGAAGACAAATCAGGAAAAAGAAATGAAACGATCGAATGAATATTTTCAGAGTGATGTCCCCTAAACCAGTGTGTAGGTACAGTCTGCTGTGTAGGAGAGTAGTGAAAGCAGAAGCAAAATATTAGATGTGCATTAAGCCACAAGCTGAGATTGCTGCAAACAATGGCTAAGTCTGTTTGCTCTTGGAAGCCTTAATGTAAGGAAACATCCTTATAAGAGATGAAACAAAAGCAGGTCTATAAGTGACAATCCCGTAGGCAGTGAAGGATTAAGAACTTCCTATAGCTCCTAAAGTATCAACCTACATTGTAACCCTTCCAAAAAGGCTGCCCTAAGAGCTTTCTGTGACTTAGTCTGCCCAGAATAGGGAAAAGCATCAGAATTAGTTTGACTTTCCCTCTGCACGCCAGCCATGCACACACTTAAAGCAGAGAGGAGAGGTGAAGAAAAAGAGAAGGAAGTGCAGCACTTATTCGGCATCTCCTGGCAGCACACCTGTCAGCCCAGCTGCCCACTTGCCCTCACTGCTTCCTGCAGTGACTGCAGAGCTTCTCCAGCCCTGCTCTTGGCTGAGTAGCACTTCCCACTCAGCAGCACTGGAAATGTGGTTTTCATACAAAAACAAACACCAGCTAGGCTCAGGCTTCAGTGTTAATTTGTAGTTTTTATTTTCTTCATTTTGCTTTGAAGTGCTTTTTATTGTTGTTGTTTTGTTTTTCTTCTGCTTGCTTGCTTGCCTGAGTGAGAAAGCATGCTCATTTGCTACACACACGTAATTCATTTGAAAATATTTTCTGCTGCCTGATGGACCACAGGCTGAGACACAGTCCTGCAAAACAGGCATCCTCAGACCTTTCAGGTCGGCAGATCACTCTCAGCTGTCAGACTTGAGTGCAGGCTGCCACACACTCTTCTCATCAAAATTTTAATTGAAGACCATGAGCGTTATTATTTAATACAGTTCCACAGACCACCTGCAGCAAACTCACCAAGGCCCCATGGATTAGCAGTGATCCATATGATAGAGGCTGGGAACCACCAGCTCAGCGCCCTTGCTGATTCCGACTGCTTGTCCCTAACGCTGTGTTAAGCCCATTCATGTATATCGTTCTGTTCAAATGAAAGCAGCCTGCACTTCAGAAGGTATTTCATGGAACCAAATGATTGGGAGTGAGAACTTCCCAGATCTGGAGTAGCCAAAGAAGATGAGCAATCCCACTGCAGCAACCACCAACACACACCACATCCCAGCTGTATGAGATGAACAATTAAAAAAAAAGGCAAAGAGTTACAAAAGATGCAAACCCAGAGGCCTCTTTCAGGTGGCATTTGTACACCTGCAGTTGATTATAAATTGGACGGGATCTACAGTGTTCAGCTCAAAAGAATTTGCAACAAGTAAAAGGTCTCGAGATCCCTTGTTATTCCCTCTGCTAATGATTCCTCCTTCCAAGTCTTTCGAGAAAGTCTGGGGCAATTTTTACAAAGTTCCAGCGCAATGGTTGGATTCTCTGCTTTAGATGGTTGGATCAACCACCCTGCTTGTTGGGTTGAACTGTATGCTCACTTTACAAAGGAAATATGAATATTTAAAATAAATAAATAAATAAGTAAAGCTGCTAAAAATTCTGCAGTTGCTTTTGAAACCACTGAGGATTCACCTTGCAGCTGCTCATGATTCCTATTTTTAAATGCTTTTTCTGAAAACCAAGCAAATACGCTGATGCTGATCCTCATCAAGGACTGCGAGCTCTGCCTTGCCAAGCTTAGTCATAGAGGGCACTCCCCTGAACTAACATGCTTGCTAATGCAAATAAATTGGTTTTAGTACAGTTCTATCAAAAATCAACAGCAACAAACTATGGGCAGTAGTGAGGATGGAATTAGAGTGAGTGTTGTCACTGACATGCGTATGTAAGTGCATACATGATGATGTGCGTATGTAAGTCTGGGCCTCACATTATTTAGGGCACAGTTCTGCCCCTCTTATTAGTACCAATTCATCTCCTGCTCTTCAGATAACCCCCACGGGCAGATTATGGCAGCCCTAAGAGGCAGAACCTCAGCCAACAGGCGGCCCTGGTTCTGGGCTTTGTGCAGAGCCAGGCTTTGTCCCAGTCCAAGCAAGAGGCTCTTGCTGTTGCAGAGGATGGCACTGCCTGGCGGGGCGATGCCGTTTAGCACAGGGAGCACAAAAAGTCTTTGGGCAGGATTCCCACTGGGATAAGTTTGTATAATTTTTCCAAGACTGGGAACAAACATTAACGCAATTTTCTTCCTTCAGAGCAGTTTTAAAGTCACTCATAGTGTGAGAGCATTTTCCTCCTTGGAGACTGGACTTTGCTCCTCCATGCAGTTCCACTTACTCACCTGGTGACTGTGATTGTGAGCACGGTGTGCAGAGCTGGGGGCTTGCAGGGGTGATAATCAACCAGGACAGCAAATCCTCTTGCTCAGAGGACAAGTTTATAGATTTGTTTTAAAAAATTAAGCCTCTGCAGCAGCCTACCCTCATCCCCATCCCAATGGTTTGCTGCTTAAAATCTTACAGGAAAAATGTAATTTTCTCTATTCTCTTCTAGGAAGATGAAAATTTTCTTCTGCAAAAACGTGTATACCCAAAGCTGTGGCTTGTCCATTTGAATTACAGATCAGCAAAGAAAGCCTGAGAAACTCTCCTACTTTCATTCCATTCTGAGTGTGACTTGATTTCCCAGCTTAAAAATAAATTTACACCAATTAAGAGCTCCTTGAATCTAGAAAGAGCACATACATTAGAGATATTCCTCCCTAAAATAAACATATTGCTTTAATAAGCTATCTCCTGGGTTTTAGGATCTTAAAGCAAAAGCGTGCTTCCCAGGGGCCCGTCTCACCACACGTCGGCCACCTTGGTTTATAAGTTAAAAATCAAAATATGAGTTTGGTTTGAAATATATAAAGTGCTCATTTCTCCTGTGTTCATGCTCAATTTGATATTGTTAGGGAGAAAAAAAAGGGTCCTTGACAGAACGGTTTATTTGAGGAATGGTTAATGCTAATACAAACCTTCCACTAACGAGGATGTTTAAAATTGTTTTTTAATATGCCTTTAATGACCTCAGCTCCTCATACCTACCTCCTCGCTTCCAAAACTGTTTGCACTGTCCCCAATAACACTCAGCGGAAAGCTGTCGCTCCTGCCTAAATCCTTACTTAGGTTGGATGCTATGCCTCCGTTAGACAGGGTCACGAGGTCACGATCGATTTTGGAGGCCACCTGGAGAGCCCAGGCCGTGAACTGACTCAAAAAATTTATATCAGAGCGGGAGCGGCCCACCTCCCAGGGCTGAGCCCGCGCTAAGGCCCTGCCGTGGGACGGAGCCTGCAGCCCCAGCGCGGGGAGAGGCCAGAGTTGTTGACCCCGCGCGCTGACCCCTTCAAACTTCAGGAGAATTTTTCTGGCAGTTACCACGGTGACTGGGCACTCCAAGCTTATCCTTCTTACCACAGGGAAAAAAAAAAAATTAAGAGGGAAAAAAAAAACGTTAAAACCTACCTCGTAGAGATGTCTATCAAGAAGCAAACATGTAAATGTTTTAATTGTTTGCTTCGCTCCTTGGGCTGCTCTGGTTCCAGCTAAAGCATCCGAAGCTGCCGGCAAGAAATCGGTTTGGCTGAAAACATTTCGACTTCTGGAAAAGAAATGTTGAATGGATTTAGCACTTCTACAATCTGCCTGTGGTCACGAGTGGCACACTAAGGGGCTTATTGTGAAATCATTCTTATTTTTTCTTTCTGTGTCTGTCCCCAAATTATTGCCATTTTTTATCGAATTCAGAACAAACTGAGGAAAGGCTCAGGAAGGGATTCCAGCTGCCTTCAGCTTTTCTCCAGTTAAGAACCAACAGCCTGATGACAGCACTGAACACGCAGCAATATGCTGCTGTGGTCCCTTCAGAAGAGGCTGCATAACCCACTTAATGCACCATGAAATATCATTTAACAAGTGCAAAAGAAAAAAAAAGTTGTCAGACACCTTTACTGTTGTTTTTTTCAGGTACTTTGAACATGACCCATTTCTCACTTACAAAATGTCCCAGGTAAGCAAGTTCCCATGATGCTGACAGAAATGCACCGAGGGGTCAGGAAGTGCACTGAGCAAACAAGAAAACAAAATGCACCCTCTGTTCCTAAAACACTAAGTGAAAACTGCTGCTGCTTAATTTCCAAGCAATCCTGTACAACAGATGAAGCTTTTATGCAAATTTTTCGAGTGTTCCTATACCTAAAGAGCTCTTTCTGAAAGGGAGTGCAGACCAGCACGCAGTGTTAGTGGGGAAAAACCTGCTTAGGGCTTCCGATGGCCAACCTTCTGTCAGCATCCCCAAGCTGCTGTGGGCTGCCCGCTTCTGGACTACAGCTGAACAGGGGTTTAATGGTAGAAAGTTTCACGTCATCTGGTCTCACACGCAGTCTTGGAGTATCTCTGTCTGTTTGCAGAGCTGAATAGAAATATCCAGATGTGTTCAGCCAATGCTCAGGGCTGAGGTGGCCGAGGGGTCTGCAGAGGTGGCTCTGGCACAACACAGTGCCTCAGCTCCTGTGGGTGGAAAATAACGCAGGTTTGTGTGTGAGAAGCAAACCGCGCACATCTGCTGTTTTGTCACACATTCATTTTTCATTTCCACTACAAGGAAGAGAACAAGGAAGGCCAGCATGTGTGCACCAACCAACATTTAAAAAAAAAAAAAAGTGAATACAGAGACTGCAAAGGACTTTTCCTCCACTCAGAACTGGTTAAATTGCTCTGAAACATCATATGCTTCAATGCCAAATAGATACATAGACTTGTGGTAATATCATTCAGCAGTTTTGAATTAACCGTGAAAACAATTTAAATTAAAAACACTTAGAGATTGTTTTCCTATTACTAGACAAAGGCTAAGCCTCTCCTTAAGAGATGAATTTTTTCATTTGTGCTTTTATTGTGGCTAAACAAGGTGGTTTCATGTTTTCCCCTTTTTTTCTGCATGAAATAATCTAAGTTGGAACAATTAGGTGGCTGATTAATAGGCCAGAGGGAAGAACAGAAGTGTCTGTTACATTTTATTTTTTGCACTCTTTTTCAACAGCCCTGTATATACAAGCATGTGCTTTTCAATTAGATAGCATGATTTATGAAGTCATGCTCAGGGCTCGCCAGGTTGTTGACTCAGATTAGAGCTATGATGCCAGCTCACTCCCTGGTGACAAACACTGACTGTCCTTCCCGCAGCCAGGCACCCCTGGCAGCCTTACTAAAAGACCTTGTGGTTGGCAGAGTGCTGGGCAGGAAATGAGGTCCCCTCCGGTTCGGGACGGAGATGACTGGAGTTACAGAAAGCTGGAAAGCAAAACCAGGACCTCCTGAGTCACAGCCTTCCAGCTCCCAGGACCCCACGGCTCCTGGCACACCTGCACCCCCTGCACACCCCCCGTCTTTCCAGGAGCCCCCGGAGAGCTTTGGGTCCGGCTGAGACCAGACAGCAACTCCATGTGGGAGAGGAGAAATGACGGCACAGCTGCCCCTGTTGTCCCCCCATGTCCCAGCCTGGCCTCAAAGCTCAGCACCCTCCACAGGGACACTTCCCTGCTCGGTCCCAGCTGGAAGGTTTTGGCACATCTTGGGGTGGTTTGCTAGCTGCATTATAGCAAGGCATTTATCTCGGCCTGTGGCTTGGGGATCTTTTGTGTGGCCTCCTCTCTTCTAGGAATTCCATGTATAAATCACTGGAAAGCAGGAAATCTGTAAGCCGTGGTGGGAAGCTCACGCTAGGTTTGGCACGGACAGCTGCAGACCACAGAGCATCTCGAGCTGTAGGTGATGTAGCAAGCCAACACTTGACCTGAAATGGGGGAACTCAGCCCCTATTCTGAGGGTTTCTAAGTCATCACCAGGCCTCTGGAAATCAGTCAGAAACTTGCTGGATTTATGGGAAAGGACTCCCTGATGCTCCCTGTATAACATTTCCAGTTTGAATTTCCTCAGTGCAATAGAAACAATAATATTTAGACCATTTGGGGCTGAGATTATTGCTCTAATAAATTGTTTCGGTTTTTTTTTTTATTGGTTCATTGTGGCAAATAAGTCCCCGATTGATTTTTCTCCTAATCAGCATGGAGAATGCATTTTGCTGTAATTAAATCCTGTGTAACTGGGCACTCTGTGTTCACTTGTCTCAGAGCTCGCCGTGCTACGAGATACAGCACATCAAACACCGCACTGTACGCGATAGGCACCCTGCCAGCCCGGCAGCGATTATGCGAGCTCGCCTTCCGTGTGCTTACAAATGTGAGGAGCCGGAGCACGTATGGAGCAGCGCGCATCACTTGGGAGACGTAGGAAAGATATTAGGGGAGGAAGACGGACAGAGGGAAGGCTCAGCCCTTTCCCATCCCAGCCCGTCCCGCAGTACCAAGCCCCGGCTCCGGGCTTGGATCGGAGGCCTCAAAGCGGGGAGCGAGCGGCGGCCGCGGGAGGGGGGCGGCGGGGGGGCGGCTCTCGGCCCCGCAGCGCTCTGGGGAGCTCCGGCCGCATCCTGCCCGCTCAGCGTGCTGCTGCTCGTCGCCCCCCGGCCGCGGGGAAGCAGCCCGGCGGATAATTACCCCTCGCTGCAATCCGCAGAGCCGGCCTAATCCGAAAGCTCAAGTGCCCGTAAGTAAAACTTCAGGAAAAGTTATTGAAACTGACAAATACAGGGTGACAAATAATCAATAAAAGCCCAGTCCGACATCCTTTATTGTTTCCAGGCACTAACAGCAAGTAATGAAACCTCGGCGAAGACGGGGGGTGGGGTGGGGAGGGAGCGGCAGAACCCGGAGCTGGGCTGCCGCTCGGACGGCCCCTAGCAGACCCAGCACGGAGGGATCCCTAGGAAGGGGCGGGGAGCGGGGGAGATCAAAGTGTCCCCCTTTCCCCGAAAGGCGCCGGGACCGAGCTCGGAGCGGCCGATGCTCCGCGCGCGCACCCGCGCGGGTCCCCGAGCGCCGCGATCCGCTCTCGGCAATAAATGACAGGAGCGAGGACACGACGCGCTGCCGCTCATTAGCATCTCGGCCCCGGGTTTGCAACGCCGCAGTTTCTAAAGTTTCAGCAGAAGACGCCGGGCAAGATAAATCTGTGCTGTCGTTTCTCTCCCTGTCTCTCCGAATTAAGTTCTGATCTATCAGTTGAAACAGCGGCCAGAAAGTTGATTCGCTTTCTGTTAGGATTTCGGGTTCAACTGGGGGCTCCTCCCGTGGCTTTAAGCTTTTGAGCTGTGTAAATGAACGGCAGTGTCACATAATCGATAGGAAAAACTCAGCTGTCACAGATCCGAAAGCAGCCTCCCGCCACAGCAATAACATGATTTGTCATTTCAAAGTTTGGGAACGTGCTGGCTGTGTGCGGGGATGACGTGCAGGGCGAGCTGGGGGGGTACACTGACCCCAGCTCTGCCAGCACTTCCCCCCCCCTTCCCCCTTCCTCATCCCCCCCCCTTTCCCCCACACTCTCGCTCCTGCACTGCTGGAGAAATTTCTCAACTTTGTCGTTGGGGGGGGGGGGTGACCCAGAACAAATCCCGGTGTCATCGTGGCCTCACCGAAGCGCCCGTGTCGTCCTCCCCCACCAAGCTTCCATCCCCACCCCACCCCCCTCCCCGGCCTCCAGGACGTGCCCATCTGGAGCACGCACCGTGAGAGCAACTGTGACCATCAGTCACTAAAAGCCACACGCTCCAGTGGGCCGGGGATAAAACGAAGTCCTGGTGACGCCTGGTTAAACCACTGACCCTCCTGCCAGCGCTGGAAAGGGATGGGGGGGTGGGGGGTGTTCGGGCAAGTCCCTCCCAGCAACCCCAACTTCGGAGAGATCGAGTTGGAGCTGTGCAGGGAAATGAGCGTCACCGGGCAGAGAGGGCAGTGCCGGGCTGAGGGACCACAGAGCTGACCTGCAAGGGGACAGACACTCGGCAGAGCCTCCCCCCCCAGCCCCTGCCGTGCCCCAGGCACCCAGTGTAAACAGGGATGGCAGAAAGAGCCTCATGGGCACAGATTTTCCACTAAAACCTTTCCTTTTTTTTGATGGGAAGGACCAACCTGTGGCAGGGGATGCGGAGCTGGGAGGTTTCCCTGCTCTCAATCCCCGTCCCGTGCTGCACAGCCCTGTTTAGCTGCACACACACGCGAGAAAACAACACAGGCAGCACACAGCTCACATGCACTTGGGGAGGGCTTTAGCTTCAAATTAGGAAGCTCTCTCAGATGAGCGATAAGTTCTCTTTGGTCAGACAGCAGCGTTTGATCGTATCTTTGTGTTTTTGTCCCCACCACAAAGGGACCTGCAGGCTGAATCAAGAAACGGGATTTCAGATCCTTTGATTTGACATAGAGAAACTGTTGCATTTGTAATATTGTAACACTCTAAAGGGAAAAAATGAAACCTCTGTAGCTGAGACAAGAAGTGTGCTTAAGTACCACTACATTTCAATCCCCATTTGGATATAATTTAAGTCTCCTCTGGCTTACAGTAATATACTCTACAACCTTGAGGCTATCCAAAAGGAGGGATTTAATGAGGCCGAGTTTATACACGTATATAATTTAGAGGCTTCGCCGTAGCTGTAAGATCACAAATGGTACATGTGTAGTGCAAAGGAGCTGAAATCCCATCCAGGAACCAAGTTGCTTATTTCTGAAGGAGCTGTCATTTCCAGCAGGGGGGACACAATGAGAAGGCCAGGAGCGATGGAGCTCTGATCTCCACCAAGGAGAGATAACCACCTGATTAAAAAGGGCCTCTTGTTCCCCCGTCACTCGATCGTCGTGTGAACTTCCCTTATTTACAATTATAGGCAATGAGAGAGTTACCCAGACTGCAGTACACCCATAGCTTGGGGTTTATCCCTCCCTTTGTTATCAGGACCAGCTCTAGGGCAGCTTTGTGGACCGCTCACAACGTGGGAGCACAGAAGTGCTCTGAAGAATGGAGGTGATCCGTACATTCAGGGCCACACATATGAGCACCACACATACAGCCCCTCTGGGATCCGAGCGAAGGGGCTGGGCCCAGGTACGGCCCAATCAAACCAGGCTGCTCACAGCCCTCAAACATGTGTATGTACCACCAGAAAGCAAAGAAAGGGTCATCACACTGAAATGCCACATCATGCTCAGTACCTCCTCATTTTGGGGCAGTCCGAAGCACAGACGAGGACCAACAGCCCTAGTGACAAACATCTCCACTGTGTTGTGCTTACTTCCTTTTCCATCCTAATATTAAATGGCACAGTGTTTGCCAGATTATTATCCCACTATTGCTTGTGCATTTGTCTCTTATGTCTAGTGTCTGTCATTACACAAAGCATTTTGAAGAGCTAATTTCAAAAGACAGAAAGTCTACACTTACTATAAAAGTCATTAAATTAGCATGACAAGCATAAAGTTCCTAGGTTATAATTTGGTTATGGATCTGAAATCTCTCCTGCTCTCTCTCTCCACTTGAAGGATGAAGGCTGCAGCGAGGCATGGACACCAGTGAGGACAACTGAGCCACAGTGTGCAAATAGGGAACAGGGGAGA